TGGAGGTTGCTGTGAACTGTGATGCCATGGCACTCTACCTAGGGTGATAGCTTGAGGCTCTGTCTCAAAAAAAAGAAAAAGAGAAGCTTGATAATGGTACCAACTATATAAAGCAAAAAACCCAGGAATGAGTCTTGGAGAGGCTGCATTGCACAGAACCAGGCAGTTCCAAACTTTCTAATGATGAGTCTTGGGGGGTGGAGGGGGCAGGGGGAAGGGAGGGGTGTCCAGATTTCCTTTCCACCCCAACAAACAAGGATGGAATTTCTAGGATAGGACATATGGAAACCCAGGGAATAGTGATTTATTAAGAAAGGAGGTTTGGAAATCTGAATGCTACCACTTTCCAGCTATGCCATCTACAGCAAGCGATGTTTTCTAAGGCTTTAATTCCTCACGTAGCCTGAAAACTTAAGAGACAACTTTGGCTCTAACGTCAGGAAGACCAGTTTGAGGACCAGCCCAGTCACTTACTAGCTGAGTGATCTTTGGTAATTCAATGTGTAACACTGGCATAGTAATATTTATTTTGTGAAGTCTAGGTCAGGATTAAATAAAGTACACCATGTATCTAAATTACTTAGTTTAATACTTTGCATATGACAAGTGCCCAGGAAGCTGTAGGTGTTAGTACTATGATCACTGTTCGTATTTCCCCATCAATGGCTCTATGGCCTTCCAAATGGCATGATGGCCCATAAGTTCCTGAATGATATCCAGATCAGCACTTAGGTTACCCGGACCAGGTGTTGGTGGGGGAGCAGCTCTTCTGAGGGACAGAGTCACTTAGGAGGACAACTCAGTGACAGCAGGATTTCTTACATTAGGGAACCCATGTTGGGGAGTGTCATCAAAGGAATCATTTTACAGTAGAGAGAAAGACCTACAGGAGGGTGTGAGACCACATCTTGATCAAGAAGGAATTTGGAACATCTGTCTCACCCACAGATAAAGAGGAAGCCAGGTCCCTTTTAGGGAAGGACTTGGGGTTACTAAGGCACACGGATGAAGCAAGCCTTTAATTTTAATATTTTAAAATACATGTTTGTGTAATGTTGCAAGGCAGGGTTTCCTGTTTTACAGACTGCTGCCCCCACAGAATAAAGTGCCCCTTGGACAAGAACACGATGACAAAGGTTCTAGTAATCTCCAGGTGAAGGTGGGGTGCAGTGGGTGTGAGCACCTACAGCAGAGGGCAGGGAAGAGGAGGAGGAGGCAGAAAAAATAGCCTCAGTTACACAGTCTTCTCTGACTCTGAAATTATAGGAAAAATTGGACAAAAAGTAAAAAAAGCAAGCAAGAGCTCCCTCTGACCAAGGATCATTGATGTTGGGCAGGAGCATTGGGCACCTTTTGGAATAATCATTGTTTTCTCTCCCGAGCACATAGGGATGGACCATTCATTTCTCTGCCTGGGGCACTGCTCCCTCTGTCAATGGCCACCAGCCCTTGCTAAGCATTCACCAAGAAGAAAATAAATCATAAGACCTCAAAACTGAAAAAAGCTGGTCATTCCTGTCTAGCCCCTATCTAATACAAGAATCCTCTAAAAGAAAAGGAAAACATGCATAACACCTAGCTTTAGGTAGAGAGACACAGACACAGATACAGATAAAGGCATAGAGACAGAAAGGTAAGTACGGAGTGTAACAGAGAGAGAGGCAGAGAGAGAGAGAAACACACAGAGAATTGACTTACACAGGATATTTGCCAAGTCTAGAACATGAAAAATAAATTCCATTTCTTCAATATTCTTTTTCTGATTAATGATGAAATCTATAGCTGTATATTTAAAGATACTTTGTAGAAAAAGGTTTGGACATACTGTTTAAAAATGTAACATATTATTTAAAAATAAAAAATTCCCCAGGTAGCCAGACTTTTCAAATATATTTCTTCCCAGAAGGATATCCTAAAATTTCTCTCAATACACATTTATACAATTTTTATTTCCTTTCTCTGATTTCTACCTATTAATGAATATCAGCTAGTATGAATGAGCAAAAGTATTGTGTTTACTTGTGTAAAGTTCCCTAGCTCAACACCACTTCTGGCTTGTTAGGGATTCCTTTTCTCCTGTGGAATCAGTTACACATGTGCCATGTACTTTTCTGATTACTCCTCCATTCATCTTTATTTGGGGTTGATGGGTTCCTAAGCTTTCCTTTAAAAATTTTTATCCTTTAAGACTTACTATTTCCTAAAATTTTTTTTGCCAATAAATATAGTTGGCAGAAGTGCTGCTATTACTATTCTAAATTTCATGGAGAAAGAGCCAAGAGAGGCGAGAGTAATGGAATTGGAATTGAACTGGCCACCACCATCCCTGTCTTCAGGTAGCTGTTCCAGGTGATGTCTGAGGGGACGCGGGCTCCTTGGTGTTATTCGGGTTGTGAAATTTAAATACAGGATACTCAACTGCAAATATTCCGAGTGTAAGTAGTCTCTGAAATATATCTAATAAAGACACTACTCGAAATACCTGCGTGGATTCTCTCTCTCTTTTTTGTTAACTTTGACAACTTTCCAGTTTATTTTATTATCTACTTTTCTAAAACTTCAGAATACAAGGGCACAAATGATTAGGTTACATTGTTTGTATTTCTAAGGTAAAGTTCAAGTTGTAGGTGAGCCCTTCACCTAGGTGGTGTGCTATATATCCTTACATTGTGTACCTTAGGTAAGATCTCACCAATTCCCCATCCACCTCCCCTCTCCCCCCTCTCCTTTTCCCCCACCCCTTTAATTACATTTCTCTTTCCTGTGGGCATGTAGTTGTTTATCTATTGGTTTCATATTAGTATTGGATTGAATTGTCTTAAAATATAGCAGGAGACATCTATCTGAGCCTCAGTGAAGTCCTCTTGTTGAGGGCTAGGGAGAGCCTTAGATCGCTTCTCTTCCCTGCTGAGTGAAGCTATTTCTCTGTTAAACTCCTCTCTCTGCTGGTACCCGAGGCTGGGAACGGTGCCATCTATTCCCACCTTTGCCACACCGTCAGTCAGGTGGATGTTTGTGGAGCACGTGGGAGAAGAGGAGCAGTATTTACACATCCCACTGCAATCCTGAACTTGATAGCCTTTGTCACTCTGTCACGTGTCGGTCGGTGATATGACAGTCAACTGTTTATGATGACACTGAGCCCAATCCTTCTGAGCACCCCACCACACGTGCTGGCCGCCCTGGCCTCACCTCTCTTGTGGGGTGAGGAGCACGTGCCCACCTATACTCCAGGCCCCCTTTCTAGACTTGCCAGGTGCACCCAGGATTCTAGAATTCCCTGCGCACACATCCCCAAGCTCACTTTAGGGACCTGCACGGGCCCCTTCTCAGGTCCATCCTAAAAGTGACAGCCTAGAGATGGCTCAAAGGAGACTATTGGGGAAGGGAAGAGGGGACTGAATTTGGATATGTAGAATAACGTACTCACAGCCATGTGTGCCAGGCTCCTAATCCAGCAGGACAGAACTGGGGTTGGAAAAGATGCTGAGTGCTAGCTGCCTTCTTTTGTACTTTTGCCCTGGACCCCCACAAAGGTGAGATCTGGGCCTGTCCACAAGGTATGAGGGTAGGTCTTCAACTCCAGAAGTCCCAGGAATTCTGGAAGTTAAGCATGTGTTCAGGTGGTGTAGGGGCTGCATGACCAAGACAGAAAGCCTCATACAACTCCTGACCCCCAGGGAAAGAAGGAAGTAGTTACCTGCTGTGCCTCACTGAGGGATATATCCTAGTGAGGCTGCCTCGGCACTCCTGACTCTCACCTTCACTGGAGAACAGGCAGGAAAAGTACATGTGTGACTGACTGGCTTTGCTGTTCAGCAAAAATTTTGGTAAGAAGGGGTAAGAAATTGTAAGTCAAAGGCCTCTGAGGGTGTTGTCTCAGATGTGAGCCCTTCCTGTCTGAGTTCTCTACTGTCTCTCTACGAATTGGGGGCTTGGAGCATTGTGAAGCCCTGTGTAAACAAGGACAGTCACTGCAGGGGAGCATGGAAGATGGGGTTCGGGTGCCCACCAGCATTGATACCTGGTTCTGCAGCTGGAAATCAGGAACCTTTCACAATCTTTTCACAACCTTTTATGAAAAGTAAATGAGATGATTAAAATTATAACTAGGCCTGGTGCAGTGGCTCACACTTGTAATTCAGCAGTCTGGGAGGCTGAGGCAGGAGGATCCCTTGAGCTCAGGAGTTTGAGACCAGCCTGAGCAAGAGGGGGACCCCATATCTACCAAAAATAGAAAAACTAGCCAGTGTTGTGGGTGCCTGTAGTCCCAAGTACTCAGGAGGATGAGAGAGGAAGATCACTTGAGCCTAAGAAGAGTTTGAGACTGATGCCCCAGCACTCAATCCAGGGCAACGTGTGAGACTCTGCCTCAAAAAACAAAACTAAATAAGTAAGTAAAATTAACAACTATGTAACATATCACAGTTTACAAAGTTGTACCTATGAGCAGGGACTCATTGACTCCTCACAGAAGTATTCACACCTCCAGTCTGCAGGTGAAATATGAAGTTGAGAGAGAGAAAGAAACTTGTTCATGGTAACACAGAGCCAGATTCAAGTTTAGGCATTAAGTGTAAAGGTGTAACTTTTTTTTTTTTAATTGTAGCAAGGATTACTATCTAACTTCACTCATTAGGCCAGAGATCCTATGGTACTAAGCAAAAAACTCACCATCTGGTAGCATACCACATACACTACTGAGCTCATGGGCCAGAGCCTCAACCCCAAGCTCTAAAAACATGCACAACTTCTCTTTACATCACCTGATTCGCCTTTCATCAAGCCAATACTCATGAACATGCTTTGTGAATGAGTCATTAACATACCAATGACCATGCTGATTGTCACATTTTATGATTTTGAAGAAATATGGTTTTGAAATATTGCCTTTACAGGTGAGACCTTAGATGCTGAAGGCCTTGAGTATAGCCAGCTCTTCCTTCCTTCCCATCAGAACAGCAGTTTATTGAGGGCTGCTGGAGGGGTGGAGGTGAAATCAGAGCACAGCTGTAAACACTATCCAAGACCATGCGGCTACTTGTCACCTGGTGCTCTCAGATGGAACTTTTACCCACCATTGCCCTTTTCAAAGACAATATGAATCTACAGTATTTCATAGAAAATAATATGGTGCTTGTTTTGCCCAAATGTCACTCCTCCCTAGAACATGAAAAGCAATGCCAGATAACCAACTTTTGAGTCACAGATGTAATTTTCCAAGATTACAGTTATAAAAATACAATAGGTATAAAATAAATAAAATAAAATATAAATAACTGTAATTACCTTGAGTATATATGAAGTTTTCTACCATGGAACTCACACATACGCTGTGTGTGTGTGTGTGTGTGTGTGTATACAAATGTCACGCTTACTTTCATAACATCCCTGCAGAAGCAAAAAAGAGAAATATAATCACTATGTTATACAACTATACCTATAAGTTTCCCTCTAGCTCTAAAAGTCAGAGTTCCAAACCTATGGAAGAACTTGATGCCATCCAAGTAGGACCAATCAATCAGTTTGATTTGACATGCACAGGGCTTTAAGCAATGTGAACCAACATTTAAAATTCAGGAATTTTCACAGAGAAATCTAGATTTGCAGCTTAACCCAAAAAATCAGCAGATCTAGCAAAAATCATTCGAGCTACAGGCTTTCAATGGGAGGTTAGTTTACTAACCTGGCCACGGCTAATTTCAGTTAACCTGACTAGCTTTCTAAAGCCTTTCTTTAACTTTGTGATTCCTTGTGTCACCAAGATGTATAAACACATTTATGTTTATAATGATGCCTTTAAAGTCAGTGTGACTTAAGTAAAGACAATAAGGACATAGCATAGTCTGGTATAATGGTCATGGTTTGTGAGGACACAAAGGTCTCAAAGGTCCAGCTGTGACCCATTAGTACACTAGTTGCCTCTAATGTGAATTACCTGCAAGAGATTTTTAAGCCTACTCTCCCATTACCCAGACTAATTAAGTCAGGATCTCTGAAGGTGCAGTCCTCATCTTAGTACTATAATTGTTGTTTAATGTAATTATTGAAGTACAACATACAGACAGTAAAATAACAAAGCATACAAAATTACCAGCAACCCCAGATGCTCCCTTTGTGCCCCTTTTCAGTCTCTACCCCACCTTCCTCAACTCTTCTGCCTTCTAACACCCCAGATTAATGTAGCCTATTCTCGAACTTTATGTAAATGGGGTATGACTGAATGCATTCCTCGGTGTCCAGATTCTATTGCTCAGCTTTTAGGACTGAGACACATCCATGTTGCTGTGTGTAACAGTAGCTGCTTCACTGTTACTGATGTATAGTATTCCATCATATGATTACATCACAGTCTATTTTACTATCCTATTGTTGACAGAAATCTGGAGTGTTTTTGAGTTTGGGGTCTAAAACAGTTAATGCTGCTATGGTTCGTGAACATTCTTGAACGTATCTTTAGATGAAGTACGCATTCTGCAGAAAATATACCTGGGAGAGGAAATGCCTGGTCATGAGGCATATTTATATTTAGATTCACAGATACTGCCAAATACTTTTATAAAGTTGTGCTAATTCATACTCTCCCGGCAGCGAGTATGAGAGTTCCAGTTACTTAATATCCTCACCAACACTTCTATTATTTAGATTTTAAATTTTAGTCTTTTGGTACTTCATTGTGGTTTTAATTTGCATTCCTCTGATAGCTAATAAGATTGAGTGTGTTCATTCAATCCTACAATTCTTCTACTAGGTATATATCCAGAAGACCAAAAATCACATTATAACAAAGATATTTGTACTAGAATGTTTATTGCAGCCCAATTCATAATTGCTAAGTCATGGAAGAAGCCCAAGTGCCCATCAACCCATGAATGGATTAATAAATTGTGGTATATGTACACAATGCAATATTATGCAGCCTTAAGGAAAGATGGTGACTTTACCTCCTTCATGTTTTCATAGATGGAGCTGGAAAATATTCTTCTTAGCAAAGTATCTCAAGAATGGAAGAAAAAGTATCCAATGTCCTCAGCCCTACTATGAAACCAATGTATAGCTTTCTTATGAAAGCTACAACCCAATTATAGCTCAAGAAGAAGGAGAAAGGGGAGAAGGAGGGGAGGGGAGGGGGGAGGATGGGTGGAGGGAGAGTGATTGGTGGGACCACACCTATGGTGCATCTTACAAAGGTACATGTAAAGCTTACTAGGTGTAGAACATAAATGTCTTAACACAATAACTAAGAAAATGCCGCGAACGCTATGTTAACCAGTTTGATGAAAATATTTCAAGTTGTATATAAAACCAGCACACTGTACCCCATGATTGCATTAATGTACACAGCTATGATTTCATTAAAAAAAAAACAAAAAAACAAAAAACCCTGATTGTGTTTCATGGTTTTTTGCCATCGGAACACGCTTTTCTGCAAAGAACCTTTTTAAATCTCTTGCCCATTTTTCTATTATGTTGGTCTACCTTTCAAAATTGACTTATTTATGTTTTGGACATGACTCCTTGTGGTTATATGCATCCCAAATGCTCTCTATGAACAATTGGACTTTCACTTTTTCAAAGGTATGGTTTGAGAAACAGAAGTTCTTAATTTTAATATAGTCCAATTTATAGATCTTTTTCATCATGTTAGTACTTTTAGGGTCTTGTTTTAAAAAATCACTGCCAACCCCAAGGTCATAAAAATCTATCTTCTACTTTACCATCTAGAACAGTTAGAACAGTGGTTCTCAACCACTGTGACCCTTTAATACAGTTCCTCATGTTGTGGTGACCCCCAACCATAAAATTAGTACAGTAGTTGCCTCTAGTGACCCACCAGTGCACTAGTTGCCTCTAGTGACCCATTAGTGCACTAGTTGCACTTTATGGTTGGGAGTCACCACAACACGAGGAACTGTATTAAAGGGTTGTGGCATTAGGAAGGTTGAGAACCACTGATCTAGAACAATGAGGTTCAGTGTGGGGGGGGGGATGGGAATCACATATGTAATTTTAAATTACCTAATAGCCACATTTTTTAAAATAAAAAAAGTGAAATTAATTTGGATATTTTCTATGCAAGCCAATATATCCAAAATATTATTTCAACATGTAATCAATGTAGAAATTATTAATGAGCTATTTTACATTCTTTTTCTAGAGTAAGTTTTTGAAATCTGCTCAGTGTTTTATACCCAAAGCACAGGTCCATTGGACCAGCCACATTTCAGGGACTCAATATCCACACGAATCCAGTGGCTGCCATATTGGACTGTGAAGCTCTAGAAGTTATATAGATTTACCTGTCACATCTAGATTAATACTTAGATCTGTATGGATTTTGAGGTGAGAATCAATAATTTTTTTCTGTAGGGATATTCAAATGGCCATCCTTTCCTGAAGTGGCAACATTGCCATAAATCAAGGGTCTGAATATGTGGAGGTTTATTTCTAGCACTTCTAGTTTATTTCATTGATCTGTTATGCCCCAGAATTTAGTATTTTTTTTAAGTTCCCTAGTTGATTTTAATTTTCAACCAGTGTTGAGAACCACTATCAGTCACAAAATTTAACTAGTAGATCATGACCAGGAATTTCATAGAATGGAATGGAATAGAAAAAAATAACATTAAAGTATATCAAGTATTATTTTATGAAACTATTATTTCAGAAAATTGTGTATGTGTGTGTTCTAAGTTGAGATCTGAAAAGTATCTCTTACTATAAGCAATAGTCAAAAAGGTCAAAAACTACAATAGTGTAATCAGTCTTTTAAACAATCATTTAGGAAAATCTAACTGCATATTATTTTATAGTTCTCATCTAGAAAAGCTATGAAGTTTTACTCTTATATGATTAGTTATAAGCCAGAATTCCACATAAGGCAGATCTCTGTGAAATAAGCCAGGTAAAGCCAGCTACAGCTGATGGAACAGGAGGAGCTCATTACAAGACTCTGCGATTTTGACCAAAAGTGGATTATAGTAATGACCTTGTGATGTGAACATCACAAATGAAAATTGCTAATCTGTACAATTTGAGGTTTGTTTAGTGTCCGCATATTGTATGTTTTTAAAGTTTTAATCTTATGTTAAATAAGAAAACAACTTTGAGGGAAAGAAATTGTAGCCAATTTAGTTATTAAAAGAGGTCAAATATCTTCAATGTTGAAGAAAATGCCCTCAGAATTTTTTGCTTAAATCTTGAAATGATTAGTTTATTGCTCAGTCTGTGTCAGGAGCAATCCAATCAACAAGTATTTATTTATTTATGTATTTTTTTTGAGACAGAGTCTCACTATGTCGCCCTCAGTACAGTGCCATGGCGTCATAGCTCACAGCAACCTCTAACTCTTGGGCTTAAGCAATTCTCTTCCCTCAGTCTCCCAAGTAGCTGGGACTACAGGCACCTTCCACAATGCTCGGCTATTTTTTTGTTGCGGTTGTCATTGTTGTTTAGCTGGCCAGGGCTGGGTTCAAACCCGCCAGGTTTGGTGTATGTGCTGGTGCCATAACCACTGGGCTACGGGCGCCGAGCCTCAACAAATATTTATTGACCGTCCAATAAAATATGTCTGGCAAAGGGATCAAAATAAGACAAATAAACCTAGTTCCAGCATACAAGAACTGTAGAGAGAATTAAATGGATTATTACACATGGTTTTTCTTCACTAACTATTTCATTTTAGAACACAGATATAGTACATAAAAATGATTTCAAGCCCCTTAATGTTAATATCTGATCTCTTCATA